ACTTCCATCATGAACATAGATGCAAAAATACTCAATAAAATACTTGCAAACCAAATACAAGACCACATCAAAAAGATCATTCAACATGATCAAGTATACTTCATTACAGAGATGCAGAGATGGTTCAGCATATGAAAATCAATGTAATCCACCACATAAATAAACTGAAAAAAAAACCTACATGATTATCTCATTAGATGCTGAAAAGGCCTTTGACATAATCCAGCACCCCTTCATGATAATAGTACTGGAGAGATAAGGAATATAAAGGATATACCCAAACACAATAAAGGCAATTAACAAAAAGTCTGTAGCCAACATCAGATTAAATGGAGAGAAATTCAAAGCAATTCCACTAAAATCAGAAACAAGACAAGGTTTTCCACTCTCTCCTTATCTATTCAATATAGTACTTGAAGTTCTAGCTAGAACAGTAAGACAACTGAAGGAGATCAAAGGGATAAAAACTGGAAAGGAAGAAGTAAAAGTATCTTTATTTACAGATGATATGATAGTATACATAAGTGATCCTAAAAATTCTACCTGAAACTACTACAGTTGGTAAACACTTTCAACAAGTAGCAGGATACATAATTGACTCATAAAAACCAATAGTTTTCTTATATACAAATGACAAGTAGACTGAGAAATAAACTAGGGAAACAACACCTTTCACAATAGCCTCAAATAATATAAAGTATCTTGGGGTAACTCTAACCAAGCAAGTGAAAGTCTTGTATAATAAAACTGCAAGTCTTTAAAGAAAGAAGATTAAAGATGATATCAGAAGATGGAATGATCTCCCATCCTCATGGATTGATAGGATTAGCCTAGTAAAAATGGCCATCTTACCAAAAGCTATCTACAGATTGAACACAATCACCATCAAAATTATTCCAACAAAATTCTTTACAGATCTTGAAAAGATAATTCTCAACTTCAAATGGAAAAACAAAAACAGCTAAAACAATCCTGCACAATAAAAGAACTTTTGGAGGTATCACCATTCCTGATTTTAAGCTATATTACAGAGCAATAGTAATAAAAACTGCATGGTATTAGCATTAAAAGTAGGCAGGTTGATCAACGTAATCAAATCAAAGACACAGAAGTAAATCCACACACCTATGGACACTTGATTTTTGACAAAGAAGTCAAAATTATACAATGGAAAAAAGAATGCATCTTCAACAAATGATGCTGGTCTAACTGGATGTCTGCTTATAGAAGAATGAAAATAGATCCATATCTATCACCCTGCACAAAACTCAAGTCCAAGGTGGATCAAGACCTCAACATAAAACCAGATACACTGAACCTGATAGAGGAGAAAAATGGGGAATAGCCTCGAATGCATTGGCACAGGAGACGACTTTCTGAACAGAATATTGATAGCATAGGCACTAAGATCAACAATTAATAAATGGGACCTCATGAAACCTAAAGGCTTCTGTAAGGCAAAGGACACCATCAATTAGACAAAATGGCAGTCTACAGAATGGGGAAAGATTTTCACCAACTTTGCACATCTGACAGAGGGCTAAAATATATAAATAACTCAATAAACTAGGTATCAAAAAACCCTAAACAATCTAATTTAAATATGGGGTATAGATATAAACAGAGGATTCTCACTAGAGGATTCTCAAATAAGAATGTTTCAAATGAGAAACACTTAAAGAAATGTTCAACATCCTTAGCAAATCAAATCAGGGAAATGCAAATCAAAACAATTTTGAGATTCCATCTTATACCTGTCAGAATGGCAGCTCATGCTGAAGAGGATATGGAGCAAGGGGAACACTCCTTCAATGCTGGTGGGAGTGCAAACTTATATATCCACCAGGGAAATCAATATGGCAGTTCCTCAGAAAATTGGGAATCTATCTACCTCAAGACTTAGCTATACCACTCTTGTGATATTTCCAAAGGACACTCCATCCAATACAAGGACACTTGCTCAACCATGTCCATTGTGGCTTCATTCACAATAGCCAGAAACTGGAAACAACTTAGATGTCCCTCATCAGAAGAATAGATAAACAGTATGTGGTAACATTTATACAATGGAGCTGTTAGAAAAATGACATCATGAAATTTGTAGGCAAATGGATGGAACTAGAAAAAATCATTCTGAGTGAGTTAACCCAGACCTAGAAAGACTGGAGAGATAAGGAATATAAAGGATATACCCAAACACAATACTGCTATACACAATACAAATATGCTATGTATTCACTTATAAGTGGATATTAGCTATTAATTAAATTATAGTCAAGCTACAAACCATAGGCCCAGAGAGGTTAGGTAAAGAGGAAAGTTCTTGGGGTGGTGGTGGTTGTGAGTGGATCTCCCTGGGAAGGGAAAATAGAATAGATTTTATGAGTGGACTGGGGGCGGGTGGGGATGGGAGTCCTAGGGATCATGTGTGGAGGGAAATGGGATGAAGGGAGAGAGTGCTGGACTTGGGGTGCACTTGGGGGATGGTGTAGAAACCAGTATGGTAGAAACTTCTTGCAACATATGAAGGATTCTAATGAGAACTCCTATTAATAAGGGTTAGAGTCTCAACTGGCCACCTCTTGTCAGGCAAGGCTTCAGGTGGGGGGACTGGGTTGTATTCAGTTGAGTTTTTGGCCAAGGGAGTCCACGGAAATCCCCAAACAACCCAGGCTGATACTAAGACAAAGGGTACAAAAGGTTGCTCTCTGCAAACTGACAGTGGGCCCAATTGCTAGGGACAATACCCACACCCGAGGAATCGAGCTGGTACCTATATGGAAACTTTATCCTATGTTCGATCTCTTTGATGTGGGAAGGTACTCGGCAGACTACTGAAAGAGAAACATGTACACACAGCCACAAACTTTTGACCTACATTCTGTCCTGCCCACAAAACATGCTAGGACAATGGTGGCATAGAGCCTGTGGGAGTGGCCAACCAGTGTTTGGTTTGACATAAGACCCACTCCGCAAGAAGGAACCCATACTTGACACTGCTTGGGTGACTAAGAATCAGAGCCTAGACAGCCCAGAGGCCTAGGGTAAAACCAAATGCGACTGCTCTAAAACACATAAGCACAAAGCAAACCAATAAAATGATTCCTGGGGCTGGAGAGATGGCTCAGAAGTTGAGAGCACTGACTGCTCTTCCAGAGGTCCTGAGTTCAACTCCCAGCAACCTCATGGTGGCTCACAACCATCTGTAATGAGATCTGGTGCCCTTGTCTGGCCTGCAGACATACATGCAAGCAGAACACTGTATACATAATAAATAAGTAAATCTTAAAAAAATGATTCCTAATGACATTCTGGTATAGTCATAGATCAATTCTTTATCATCAGAGAGGCTTCCTCTGGCAGCAGATGGGAACAGATGCAGAGACCCACAGCCAGACATTATTCAGAGGAGGCGGGGGAAGAGTTTAATTTGGAGGTCTTCCTCAAATTCCTTCCCCTTAGAGCTCAGGGAATCTTGCAGAAGAGGAGGCAGAAAGACTGTAAGAGCCAGAGGGGAAGGAGAACACCAAGAGAACAAGGACCTCTGAATGAACTAAGCAAGGTGCATATGAACTCACAGAGACTGAAGCAGCAAGCACAGGGTCTACGTGGATCTACCTCAAGTTCTCTGTGTATATATTATGGCTACTAGCTTAGTATTTTTATGGGACTCCTGACTATGAGAACAAGTGGGTCTCTGACTCTATTGCCTGCTCCTGGGACTCTTCTCTTCCTGTTGAGCTGCTGTGTCCAACTTCGATAAGAAAGTTTTTGCTTTTTTTTTTTATCATATTTTATTTTGTCATGTTTTGTTGTTATCTCTTAGAAGCTTGTTCTTTTCTGATGAGATATAGAAAGGAAGTAGATCTGGAGGGAAGGGGAGGTTAGGAGGAACTGGGAAGAGCAGAGGGAGGGGAACTATAATCAGGATATAGTGTATGATAAAAGAATCTATTTTCAGTATAAAATAAACCTATATGCTCAGGGAAAAGGTGAAAATAATAGATTCATTTTCTCTCTTTGCATATTTTAATTTAGTAAACCAATGATTTGGACTTTGAGAAAAATGTCAGCAAAGTAGGAAGCAAGAAGATGCACAAGAAGGTGCTATGGGACACGGCATGGAACACACAGATTATGATTTCCTCTGTGTGGAGAAAAGATAGCAGCACTCAGTTTTCTTATGTACCATCCCATGTTTTCTCTTCTCTAATGCAAATTCTGACCATTCCTGGTATGGTTTGCTAAATATTGGCAATATTTGTTCGTTACAATTACCCAAGCTATGTAGAAATAGTAACATAGAATTCTCATTCGTTGGGAGGCGTTCATAAAAATCCTCTTTGGCTATTATATAGAAACAACGGGGTACAAAAGTTAAATATAAATTAAGAGGGAGATAATTATGGCTAAAGAGGGAGCATGAAAAAGAAAGTATGGGTTTAGAAGAAAGAAGTAATGGGTTTAGAAAACTAATATCTTGATATTTATGCTTATGTCATGGTCACTAGAAACACAACCTCTTTTCTTCTTTTTACTTGTACTTTGCTTTAGTGCTATAAAACACAGCTTTTAGTTATAATGGGTAATAGAATCAAGACTCAACCAATCAAAATACAGCACTGTGGAGACCAGTCCCAGCTGATACATCTACAACACAACTTCTGAACCTAGTGCTCAGGGGTAGTTGTGGAAGAGGGGTAGAAAGAGCACGAGAGCCAAGGAGTGCATAGCCTGGTGTGCGATTGTGTCTCGGGAATGTCAGGAGATGAAGCTGGAAAGAAACTCTTTTGAAGTAAATTAAGCAATAAATGAACACTAAAAGTGTAGGACTTAATGATTTTTAGATGATTCTAATTTGCAAAGTTAGTGCATAGATAGAATAAAATGGCAAAATTATGCTTCAAGAGAGTAGATCATAAAATGCAAGACTCTCATAAAATAGCTTGCCTTTGGAAATGTGGTGTCAACTTACCTGCTATTATAAACCATCTTTACAGATCAGCGTTTTGGACCAAAGTGGGGTCCCTGATTTCTAGATGCCGAAATAGAACTAGGTTGCAAAATACCAGGACTCCCCTGTGAAGGAAAGGAGGCAGGAAGCAGAACTGAGCAAAGGAAAGGTGAGCTGTGACACAGGTGACATTTGCTGTGCAGTTTGCACTGACATGCAGTGCTGGGCCGGGGTTGTGTATCCAGATTTGTCTCTGGCTCTTGACCTGCTCCTATTTACAGGCACCTATTTATATGTACACCCTTCTTACTCAGGAACAGTATCAGGGCAGATCCTGAGAGGCAGAGAGGATTCGAGTTCAAGAAAATGAGATTTTTACATCATGGAGCTGAAGGTCATACCTTTCAGGGCTGAGGAGAGGCCATGAGCTGAGCAGGAAGCAAGGTTTTCCTCAAATGAATGTGATATCTGTCATACTGTGGCTGAATATTCATTCCATGTATTCCGAGTCCCATTTACATGCTGTCTAGTAAATATGAGCTTTAGAAGACAGAAATGGCATGTACCACTTGTGTGTCTCCACCGTTGGAAATGAAAAGCTCAGAGACATGCAGAACACCAAAACAGAACTTTTTATCTTAGCAAGTTCTGGCAAATTCTTCATTGGTTTATGAGCAGGATACACGTAAACAAAATTAGGAACTTTTTAGGTTACTTGTGGAAAGAAAGGATTCCAGCAAAAGAGATTAATAAGCAAAAATGGAAATAAACAATATGAAGGGGAAGAGAAATAATACTTTTTTTTTTATTAAAAATACTATGTGAGTTAATTTAGACAGCTTTACTTTCTGCCCTAGTTTTTGTGATATTCAATACACTGAGTATCTCTCAGACAATATGACCTCTACAATATAAAAGTTAATTAAATCTATAAATCCATAAATGGTCATATCCTCAGTATTTTAGTAGTTTGTAACACAGAAGTGTAACAAATGTTAAGATTGTATTTAAATTATTCTGACTAGACGCTTTGTAAATTCTAGGTTCGTGCATGCCTTAGTGATTGATTATAATTCTTTTATTTCTAGATGAATAATGGATTTGGAGTTTTAAACAACTAGTTGCTCAGAATGGAAGACTCTTCAATACTGCTTAAAAAAAACAAGAACAGTGGCATGGTATTTTGGTTTATAGCCTGAGGCACTGAACAGCTGGGCCAGAGGCACAGCTCCTGGAATGAGGTAAAGTGTAGGAAGCAGAGAGAGGAAGGCTGGGCTGCTGAGGTAAACTGTATTGTTTCTTTTTCTTACTCTCTTGTTTTCTCCCTTGCCTTTTTTTTTTTTTTTTTAAAGGCAGGATAACACTCTGTAGCCCAGCTAACCTCAAACTTGTGGCGATCTGTCTGCTTCTGTTTCCTAAATGCTGAAATTACAGGTGGGAGCCACCAGGTGTAGCTGCTATTATTTCTTAATGGATAGTTTCTTGCTCTGAAAGATAAAACCTAAGGGGGAGAAGACACAAGAAGAGTTGGATGGAGGAAAAGGAAGGGGAGGAAAGGTGTAATTATAATTTAATGAAAATTTGTTTGTTTGTTTTTTTGTTTTTTTCGAGACAGGGTTTCTCTGTGTAGCTTTGCGCCTTTCCTGGAACTCACTTGGTAGCCCAGGCTTGCCTCGAACTCACAAAGATCCGCCTGGCTCTGCCTCCCGAGTGCTGGGATTAAAGGCGTGCGCCACCACCGCCCGGCTAATTTAATGAAAATTTAAAAGTAGTAAAAACATAATCTAGGGAACGGATACAACAAAACTTAGCTCTGAAAGAAGTGAAGAAAGCCACCAGGCGAACCACCCTTCCACGCCTCCTGCACTTAAGGCAACCCCGTCAGCACACTTCGGCCCAGCTCCCAGGCAGTTTTCATCTGTTTCTCACGCCTCAGAAGTTTTCATGGTGCACGAATAAACTTGGTTAGTAGTTCAATGATTAATGGGAGAGTTGTAAAATCACGGTTATTTTTAATGACTGTCATTTATAAATAGGAAATTGTTCATTAATTGTTCATGATATTTATTATATCTTCACCTCATGGATTCTGGCTTATTTTGTTTTTTTTTTTTTGATAGTCAAGTTGTGTGTAAATAAAATTATGAATTTGCTTTTTAAAAGAAACCCCTTTCTTTTTTAAAGATCAGTTTTGTACACTGAAGGATGGTTTCATAGTTTCAGTAGTTTTTAAAGTTATCTTTGAAGATTTTTATGAACATCTCCATTTTTAAAGCATATTTCAGTTTATGCCCATAAAATATTTGAAATCATCTGGCTCACTATTTTCTATTTTTTTTCTAAGGATAATTTGAAATCACAGAAGAGAAGAAGACATGCCTGGAGCTCACACCTCTTCACAGGCAGAGGCCCGCGTGAACTCAGGCTTCAGACACGGAGACTCGGAGACTCGCACAGCTAGCGTCCTTTCCCTCCATGTCCGACTGCTGAACTGGCTTTCCCAACCACTCCAGATTCATCTGCATTGTTCTTGTGCCCATTAAAGAGCATCTTCAGAGTGTTTGGTGTTCCAACATTAATTTCCTCTGTTTTCATTAGCATTGGATGATAAGGTGGTACATTGGCCATCTGTTACTTTAACAAATTCCTGAAGTAAATCAACTAATAAAGAGCAAAGTTTCATTTTCTCCCATTTGTTTGGAAAGTTGCAATCATGGTCTGTTGTCCTCCTGCCTCTCAGGACTGTGGCCAGGTGGCACATCAAAGATAAGAAACAAGAGAGGGAAAAAGGATCAAATCAGGGGCCCCCAGTTCCTTCCAGGGTCACACCTACAATGACCTAATGCTCACCAGGTGAGCATTAAATATTTTACTACCTCGTAATACCACCAAACTAGACCTAGGGAATGCATGGCTAAGATGTCACTTGCATTCTTTTATTCCCTTTATACAGAATAGATGCACGGCCCTTTGTGAAGTGTCTCTAAGACAGAAAAGTATCAGTTCATGCCCCACTGGAAGACAGTTTTACCCACTTGTTAATTAATCATTTGTCCAAAACTGTTTTGGCTGAAATTTAGAGGTATTATAAGCAGAGATTTCTCTCTCAACCTTTTCAAGTACATAAAATATTCAGCTGTGTTTTCACACATCACTATATTAAAACATTTTAATTACAGCATTGATCAGGGCATTTGTTTACTGCAGAAACATTTGGGAGAGTCTTAAACATTTACGGCATAAGCAACAAACACTGAACAATATTCAAAGTCTAGAGGAAGGTTTTGGAGTGACAGTGTGTATTGCTCACAAGCATGTCTTGATTTAGGAATGTAAGAGCTTGAAGCGGGCCTGCAGAGTGCAGCGAGGTAGAGATTACCAAGGGAGGCCCGGGTACTGGAGCACTTGTGAAGTGAATTCTAGAACCGGACACAGAAATGGTATTAAAGATTGCTTCCACTTGCTAATTTTGGAGATGTAGAAGTCTCAGAAAGTAACTTCTCTAAGGTTTGTGAAAGAACCTAAGAGAGATTTTCTTGGGAAACTGATTTTTAACATACATATAACACCCAGAGAAGGCATCCAATGATCAGTTAGGAGTTGGGGAGGGCGTCTGGGACAGAGAGAACAGATTCTCCAGGGCACTTTTTCACTGCAGTGAATGATTGAACATGATGAACCATATAACACTCAGGAGGAAAAAGGCTGAAAAAAATCACTATTCATAGAAAATTAAATAAAAATTTAAAATATCCAATGGCTTCCTCTTATCCAGTCCCAATATTTCTCAACCTCCACTTTAAAAGTAGACATCACTGCTCTTTACCCATTGTTTCTCAGACAACTGACTTTTCAGATCCCTGCAAGTTTTCCTTATTTGTATCATGTAGAATAGAACGATGGATTTCTTCTTGTCACTTTCTTATATCTTACATCATGAAAGCTGTGCTGAGACTCGGCAGAACGTTTCTCTTTCTTCTCAGGCTTAGGGTTCAGTTTACCTCGGATTCTATCCACTCCCTGGCACTGGTCAATGTGGACATGGGGTTCTGTCCTCAGGGCCACACTTCTGCAGGTATTCTTGGTGTGCTCTTGTTCTGCTAATGCAGAAGAGAGCCCTAGAAGCTAAGGCTCAGGCCAGCGCCCGTGTTACACACGTGACCTGGGAAGAAGGAAATGCATGCTTCCACTGCTGGTTTTCATCAGGGAATATGATGTGAGCTGAGGAGAGAAAAAGGTGAAATCCTTTTAAGTCAGCTTGAAAACAAAATCGCTCCATGAAGCCTTAAGAGCCTATAATTTACCCAGGAGATGAAACATATGTACTCTCTAAACAACCAGAATAAAGAAACAATCTATTTTAAAACCTGGTTTCACAGTCTCTTGGCTCCAAATTAAACCTTTCATTGTAGAGGAGGAAAGTGCTTGGGTGTGTTCAACGAGAAACAAGGAATGTTTGCTTTCAAGCTGCCTAGTAGCTCTGGGATGACTGTGACCCAGAAGGCATTGCTGGAGAAGCAGGTTCCCTCACAGGAAGTGGAGTGCCTTTTCCCAGCACAAACAGATGTGCACTCAGCCCCAAAGGAGGATTTGCCTCACAGATGGGCTTGTCCTGAATATGAACCTGCTTTCATCATGGTAAAAGTGACATTCCGTAATAATGACATTCAGCTGTTTCCATGCCGTAGGGAGGAATTGTCTGTGAGGATACATTCCCCTCCCCACACCCCACCCCCTGTCTCTTTTGTACACACCCATACACTCATTTGCAGACACAGGCATACTCTCTGACACATACACACTCACACTCCTACACACACTCTCACAGCATACAATACATCTGTGGATGTGGGCAGCAAATCTTTTAAAAGGTATCTTCCATATCTCTAATACCATACCCGGTTTAACGTGCTAAAATTGCTGTCCATAATACAGTGATCAGAGTGTGCTATTAAATTGTTGATTAAATCAATCTCTCATAATGGTCTATGGTTCCTACTCCAGAAAAAGCTAGAGGTTAAGTGTGTATGGGGACACTCAAAAAAGCACTGAGGAGTGGAGCTGTAAGTGCTTAGTGGTTGCTTTCATGTAGAAACTGACCACAGTAACGTGAAGCTCCCCTGGACACATGGGTTCTCAGGCTCTTTGTTCCCCATGGCTTTACACTCAAGGCAGATGGCATTCCCTAACTTAACTGGGTCTTTGTGGCCTCTGGTTACCCTAGCTTGAACTTTTCTTGCCTCCAAATCTCAAAGTCAAAGGGACAAGAGACTAAATTACACTTCAGAAGTATTTGGACCCGAATTTCAGCTGTGAAAGGTGCTGGGGAGAGGAAGCGGCAGCTGTCAGGAGCTGGATAGGGAACCTTTAAAAATTCATGCCAACGGGCAAAGCCAGTGTCAGGGGCAGCAGCATCGGCAACAGCACTGAAGACCCAACCCTCACACGGTAGCACACTCCTATGCTCCTTGTTTCTCCATGACGTTCTTGCCATGGCAAACACTACTTGTTTAAACTGTGAGCCGAAGTAACCCCGTCCTTTGTAAAATTCATTGATTTTGCTGGGTTTTTAAATTAAAGCAACAAGAAAGGCAATTCATATAGACAATACTTATGAAAGAGGCCCAAGTTTCCTTTGCCTGTTCGGATACAGGGACTGCAAATTGCAAATACGAAAGGACTATTAGGACAGGTTTTTATTTCCCAGTAAGTAAAGCGTTTATATTAACATTTTTATGCCTTTAAAAATAAACTCACATTTAATTCTACACATTTTACTACCAAATACAAAGATAGCAATATATTCCGTTAAAAAATCTATCTATCTATCTATCTATCTATCTATCTATCTATCTATCTATCTATCTATCTATCTATCTACCTACCTACCTACCTACCTACCTACCTATCTATCTATCTATCTATCTATCTATCTATCTATCTATCTATCTATCTATCTATCTATCTATCCATCCGTTGTTTTTCAAGACAAGGTTTCTCTGTGTAGCCTTTGCTGTCCTGGAACTTGCTCTCTAGACCAGGCTGGCCTTTAACTCAGAGATGTGTTCTATTTAGTTAAGAGTGAAATTGGGACTGTCCTGCGAAGTCCACACTCGCCACCAGTTTGCTATGGATAACCAGATCCCCATGCTCCTTGTCTACAACAGCTCCGGCATATGTTATGCTAACTTTGTGGGCAAGGACACTCCCTGGGCCATCTTCCCCTTAATCTTGGGCCACCCACGGCACCAGGACATGATGGTGGGCATGGGCTAAAATGACTTCTACATAGGTGATGAGGCCCAGAGCAAGAGAGTCACCCTAACATTGAGTACCCCATCAAACACAACATTGTCACCAACTGGGATGACATGGAGACAACCTGGTACCAGGTTTTCTACAATTTCTACAATGAGTGGTGTGAGGCTCCTAAGGAGCACCCCATGCTTTTCACTGAGGTGCCCCTAAGCCCCAAGGCCAACTGTGAACAGATGGCCCAAATCATGTTTGCGATCTTCAACACCCCAGCCACGTATGTAGACATTGAGGCCGTGCGGTCCCTGTCTGCCTCGGTGGAACCACTGGCATTGTGATGGACTCTGGAGATAGGCCCATCCTCACTGTGCCCATCTATGAGGGCTAAGCTCTCCCCCATGTCACCCTGCATCTGGACCTGACTAGCTATGACCTCGCGAGGATCCTGGATGAGTGGGGCTACAGCTTCGACACCACAGCCAAGAGGGAAATTGTTCATGACATCAAAGAGAAGCTGTGGTATGTTGCTGTAATGTTCAGCACTACATTTAACGTTTAGACTTACTATGCTTGAGAGACCAAAAAGCAAAAGATGCCTCTCACATGTAAGCCCCTAGTTTGTTCAGCTGGTACCCTAGCCATCTACTCCCCTTTCCCCCAAATGCTGAACACTTCTTAAATCAACCCATCTTGTAAAATTTGCTGTTCTAGCAAGATAGTAGGTCATAAGACTGTGTTTTTGCTTTTGTAATCAAATTTGCTTACTTGTTCAATGACTAGGGCAACGGCAAGACATTTATATTAAAATTAGACCCTGCCTACACGTAGACAGAATATATGTAATCTTGTGGTTTTTGACTCTATAAACCTTGGACTGATGTGGCTAGCCACTGCATCCCGTGAGCGCTGTCGTTTGCAGGTCTGGTGCCATGAGTATCCAGTGCCAGTATTTAATAAATCCCCTTCTTATTAACATTTATTCATAGAAATGGTGAATCTCTGAGCAATCCCAGACCTCTAACAGTTGTGCTGGACTTTGAGCTAGAGATGGCCACTGTTGCACCCCCTTTCTTCCCTAGAGAAGAGCTGTGAACGGCCTGACAGCCACATCATTATTGGCAATGAGCAGTTCCAGGGCCCCGAGGCTCTCTTCCAGATTTCCTTCCTGAATATGAATTCCTGTGGCATCCATGAAACCATAGTCAATTCCATCATGAAGTGTGATGTTGACATCCACAAAGACCTCTGTGCCAGCACAGCTCTGTCTAGTGGCCTCACCATATATCCAGATATGGTTGACAGGACACAGGGGACCACTGCTCTGGCTCCCAGAATGATGGAGATCAAGATCATTGGTCTTCCTGGGCACAGGCTCATCTTGGCCTCACTGTCCACATTCCAGTGAAGTGGATCAGCCAACAGGAGTAGGTTG